TATATATAAATATATATATATATATATATATATATATATATATATATATATATATATATATATATATATATATATATATATATATATATATACACTGGAACTTTGACATTGTTCAGGGGCGTGTATGATGGGTGCTTTGGCGTACCTAAGGGTTTACAGCCATGACGTGTTCTTGTAGTCGTGTTTATTAACAAATTAATATCGTAGATGAGTAGATGTGTGTGTGTGTGTGCGCGCGCGCGTGTGTGTGCGTGTTTGTTTGTGTGTGGGTGTGTGGGTGGAAGGGAGAATCGTAAGTTTGTTGTGATTTAGTGCCAAAAATTAGCCTGTAGTAAAAATACGTCCCTGAATGGGTGGGGTTCCATTTGATGAGGATCGAGGTGTCTGAAAGGCATCATTTGTTACACACAGAACGAATTCAGTCCATAGCAGATTTCATGTTTCTCATTTATTTATTCACATGTTGCACATTCCGTATAAGCTTTTACAATTTCAAACACAGTAAGTTTGTCTAAATGTTTGTTAACTTACATCAGGTAGTGACTCAGTAGTGTTAAAGATGTACTTTTTATGTTTCTATGTGTCTCTATGAATGTCCTCAAATGTTTCTATAAGTATCTATGAATTTCCTCAAATGATTCGATAGGTTTCTATGAATGTCCTCAAATATTTCTAGAAGTCCCTATGAACTTCCTAAAATATTTCTATAAGTCTCTATGAATGTCCTCAAATGTTTCAATAAGTCTCTATGATTGTCGTCAAATGTTTCTATAAATTTCTATGAATGTCGTCTAATTTTTCTATAAGTCTCTATGCATGTCCTCAACTGTTTCGGCATCGGATTTTGAAGCAGACATGGTTGTAGGAGATTCTACACAGTATCTTCTTTTTACTATTCAGAGCTCTACAAGAAGGCTTAAGTTACAATGAAAGCTGTGACGTAAAATGTCAGTCATCTTTTAAAATTTAATGTGTAACTAACTCTTTTGTTTTCAGAGGTGCAGCAAACAAATTCTGAGAAGAACCACCAAAACAACATTGAACTAAATAGGGCACATCGGTTGTTGAATAATTCTTCATCTGTTTTTTTTTTTTCTTAACTTAATTTAATGAGGGTGTGGAAATTACAGCTGTCGAGAATGATAACGTTTTACAAATACTGACACAACTATTCAACCAATGAAGTTATTGTAATACATTTTCCCCACAGTAACAAATTAAGTAGCGACATTTTGTTCATTAGTATTTCCCATTAAAAATCAATAAACTCCACATTAAAAAAAACAACACTGGACGTAGAGGTATTCTAGCGCGGCCGACTCATTGGCACTATTTTATACCTCTTCTTAAAACGAAAAAGCTGTTGTAATAAAATAGTCCCCAGGAATGGTGTTCACCTGAAAGTGGAGTAATTTTTGTACGTTATTAATTACCATTAAAATAATTAACCCTTACAGGGTGGGGGGGGGGGAGGGGGGCGGAGCTGTGGTTAGTGTCGCCCCGGAAGGAGTAGCGTACTCAAACTTTAATCTTCAGTTAACTCTTTCAAACAACTGTTGAGCACCCTTGAGTGTCAAGGAATCGAAACAGGCTGGCGGTCTGCTGAAATTTGAAAAAAAAAAGGGGGGGGGGGGTGCTCACACAGAGAAATTTAAAGACAAAGTTGTCTAAAATGTACACCCGAGGGTTCTAGTGTCTAGTCCCTGGTAAGACTTATTTTAACGCAAGTGTACGCGGCGAGCTGTGAAGAGAAAATACCAATTTTTTTTTTTTCCATGTGCTATGTTCTTATCGCTAAGGGCTACACCAAGCTTTTGGATGTTAAACTCTTCATCGATTTTGAACAGCGATTTCCCCCCCCCCCGCCACAATCGACTCATAATTAAGCGCTGGGGTAGCTAGGGAGAGTGCTAACCGGGGCGGGTGGAGGAGCCTTCTTCCGCCCCATTCCACGCAAAAACAAACACTTCAGCTGGCCGAAAATACCGCTCCCCTGACCACATTATAAAGATAAAAAGTGGCGCCCGGGGCAGACATCCCCCTCCATATCCCTTCCCTACGTCACTGATAACTTATAATGACCCCGTGTTAGCACACTAAACTAACGTACCGGGGGACCGTTGAAACTGACTTGTGGGTAACAAAACAACTTTTATCTAAGCGTCTAAATACAGACAGAATAGTAGCCACGTTATGATTAATATTATTAAAATGATTATGATTATTTGCCTGAATTCATTTTAAATGCAAGGATCATGTGATTCGATTACGCTTAATTTGTGGTCTGAATTTTTTACAAATCATAATTATATAGGTGACGGGCAATAGAGAGAGAGAGAGAGAGAGACAGAGAGAGAGACAGAGAGAGAGAGAGAGAGAGACAGAGACAGAAAGAGAGAGAGACAGAGAGAGAGACAGAGAGAGAGAGAGAGACAGAGAGAGAGACAGAGAGAGAGACAGAGAGAGAGAGAGACAGAGAGAGAGACAGAGAGAGAGAGAGAGAGAAAGAGATGCGGGGACACGCAAAACGACACAATGGAAATAACATAAACAAGGGAACAAACTCTTAAAAGGTAACGCATCACCATCTCCAAGAAACTGAATGCACACCTCCCATTATATCGCCTTCGATTTCCCGCTGGGAAAATACTGAGCTGGAAAGAAAATAACAGGTGCTAACGAGGAGGAATTTGGCGATGGCACGTGCACTTCTTAGTATTATGTGTTCAAGAAGAACACAAGAACATTTTGCACATGCACTTTATAGTAATATATGGTTAGGAAGTTCGCAAGAACATTTTACACCTCATAATATCATACGGCAAAGAAGAACACAAGAACATTTTACACCTCATAATATCATACGGCAAAGAAGAACACAAGAACATTTTACACCTCATAATATCATACGGCAAAGAAGAACACAAGAACATTTTGCACATGTACTTCGTAGTATTAAATGGTTGAGACGAAGACAAGAACATTTTACACGTCACAGTATTATGTAGCAGATGAAGACCACAAGAACATTTTCCACATGCACTTCATTGTATTATTTGGTTAAGAAGAACATCAGAACATTTTGCACTTGCACTAACTACATAGTATTATGTGGCCAAGAAGAGCACCATAACATTTTGCACATGCACTTCATGGTATTATATGGCTCAAAAGTTCACAAGACACATTTCTTCTTCTTCTTCATCTTAAGGGCCCACTATCAATTTATTGATCATTTTGGCTCCTATGCATGTAGATGGGATTTGCAATGTTTCTGTTACTGGTGTTGATGAGGAAATCATGCACTAGGGGTTTGAAGGCTTGAGGCAATGGACACACACATTTTGCACATGCACTTCAAAGTCTTGTATGTCTGAGCACAGCAAAAGAAAAAATTCTTGCGCACATTACTGAACGTGTTTAGGATTTAGTTTTTTGTCCACCAAACATTTCCTGTAGAGATTGCCTGAACCTCGTGCTCGTCTTGTAGTACAAGAGAATGGTGATGCTCGAGTTGACGGAGTGGAGCAGAAATGCAAAGGACCAGGCGGCGTGGTACACGTTGGCCTGCTTGCCGGCGAAGCTGAAGTCGTCGGTGATTGCCGTCGCGACGGAGCACGTGATCGCAGGGGTGTAGCAGACGATCAGAACGGCGGCGACGACGACCACCATCACGACGGTCTTCCTGTGTCTGGACGACAGCGCCTCCGTCTTCACGGCTTTTGAAGCTGTCTTTCGGCGCCATTTCGATTGTTTCCTCAACGCATACACAAGAATACTCGTGAACAGGACGACCAACAGGAAGGCGGTGGTTATCAGAGAGCTGTGGAGGTTTGAGTTCAGAACTCCGATTTCCAGTTTGTTATTCCTGAAGGTTAATCCGAGCTTTGTTCTGTTCTGCTCGGGGTAAAAATTCCAAGCGATGTAAGCCCAGAAATAGAGGGGTATGGCCGTCGCGATGTTGAAGGCGTAGATGAAGACCAAGATGGCCGCCGTGCGTCCCGGAGTCACGATCTCTTTGATCTTCAGCGGCACTGCGATGGACAGACATCTCTCCGCTGTGACGTACGCGGTGATCCAGCCGGTGATTCTCACGAAAATGATACTCTGGCATCCAGCGAACAGGTACTGAATGTCGACGAAGTTGACGTTTGGGTCCAGAAGGACCAGGTAAGGATTCAAACACAAGTTGTGCACGAGCTGGGTCAACAACTCCAGGATGTCCGAGACGGCCATGGCGAAGAAACTGGTGTTGATGGATTTGGCCAGCCCTTGTTTCACAAACACCCGAATGTTGATGACGTTACCCACAATGCCAAGCACGCAGCATAACGAGCTTAGCGTCACGTGATTTATTAAAATGAAACTATTTTTATCTCTTTCACTTAGAAGCTCACCAGAGCTCTGTAGATCTCCAATGACTGCAATGTCGTCTTTCGTTGTCACGTGATCTGAGCTGAAAATCTCCATTGTTTGGATTAAACCAATTAAAGTTGTTGTTTTTTTATTGTTGGAGTGCTTAAAAAAAAAGAATAAGACCAGAATAGAATCGTATACCTTCGAAAAGACTCCTGCAGTTTCAAACAATACTATAAACTGTTTCCCAACCCTATTTGGTGTTTCAAGTTAGTTTCTTAGTAAAATGTCCCTCATTTCATTTTTTTTTTCAGTGTTAGCATCATGTCTTATTTATATCGAGACAAGTCGAATCATAATTAAGACTATTTACGTCTTTACTAACATTTCTACCTGTTCTCCTCACAAACTAGCAGCCTTATATTTCACCTNCCCCCCCCCTTCCCCCCCCCCCCCCGCATTCAACCTGCCATTTCCACCTAAGACACCAGGGCGTCTAATGCCACAGTGGGGGGAAAAAACAACTAATTGACAATTAAACTTACCCCAAGCCCCCTCAAATTGACCTATTTTCCACACACCCCCCACCCCCCCTCAAAAAAAAAAAAAAAACAAAAAAAAAAACAAACAAAAAACCAATGGCAGATTAAGTTTAAAATATTGGTTTAACCTCCAGGCCTTGATGATACATCGCCAGTCACCACACAAAATGAACATTGACAGAATAAGTCGATTCTAGACATAATTTCATCTGGATTAATACAAGGAAATAATTGTCTCGTTGCGTCAACTAAATCTCTTTGTATGTCCTAATGGTAGGTTTCGTTCCCAAGTTTTTATAAACTGTGAAATTAACCAACTACCCATTCCCGCACAAACCCCCCCCCCCGCACACACGCACACACACACACCCACACTCCCCCCCTCCCCCATGACATAACTGAATAACTTTAACCTCACAATGTTGACATCGTATCGACACGCCCTCAGGGCTTAATATGTCGTGTTTAGTAATTATCTCAACGGTTGATCATAAGTATGGCGTACCTCATGCCCAGTGTTAATTCCATGAACGCTCCCATGCTTGCGTCATACAATAGATTTTATTGTGGAGACTCATCTTTTTGGCAGTGGTGAAGGGAAAAGATCAAGGCCAGGATGTGGGTATGCTTAGAAGATAGAAGAACAAAACTACACTTTTCAAGCTTAAGTCATGGAGGACTTTAAAGTCATTAGAGTCACCAGAGTCACTCAATTTCAATTCACAAAAGTCTTTAAATAAAGTCATTAAAGTCACTAGGGTCACTAAATTCACAAAAGTCATAAAACGAATTAAAAAGTCACTAGAGTTAATAAATTCAGTAAAGTCTTTAAATGAATTAAAGTCATTAAAGTCACTAAATTCACTTAAGTCATGCAATGAATTAAAGTCATTAAAGTCACTAAAGTCATCAAATGAATCAAAGTCATTAAAATCATCTCCCGCAAACTGACAAAACAAAAGGGAAAGTGAAACTTGACTTTAAAATGAAGTGGGCCACAGGTGACCTGGAAGCAACCACAATCAGGTAGTTTTGGGGGGAGGGGGAAGAGAAGGGTGTTAGGAACTGGCGATTGTGGTGATGCGAAGAATACACATTTTGGTGATATGATCCACATTAGGCAACAATCTGTTGTCAGTATTCACAGATGATTATGTTGTGTCAGTGCATTGTAGCATATAATCGATGGATACACTGGGTGTGTATTTATGATATGGTACACTGAGTGTATATTTATGATATGGTGCACTGGGTGTGTATTTATGATATGGTGCACTGGGTGTGTCTTTATGATATGGTAAACTGGGTGTGTCTTTATGATATGGTGCACTGGGTGTGTCTTTACGATGTGGTACACTGGGTGTGTCTTTATGATATGGTACACTGGGTGTGTCTTTATGATATGGTACACTGGGTGTGTCTTTATGATATGGTACACTGGGTGTGTCTTTATGATATGGTACACTGGGTGTGTCTTTATGATATGGTACACTGGGTGTGTCTTTATGATATGGTACACTGGGTGTGTCTTTATGATATGGTACACTGGGTGTGTCTTTATGATATGGTAAACAATAGAAACGTTTTTAGGAACTCATTTAGGAATCACAGAGATAGTCTAAGAATATTTGTGATGCAAATCGCAAGAGTTGATTGTTAAGTTGTTATAAAACTGTCAGGAAATTGAAAGATCACAAAAAGTAGTGCAAATTCAATCTGTTGATATCCTAACGAACACCTTGGATCAACCTATTCTCATTACTCACGTGATCTTTTGTGTACCTCTGTTAAAATGAGGAAAGATGAGTCATTTTATTCTTTAGGTCCTTGCTGGAAGAGAGGCCCTTAGGTTCTTGGTGGTTAAGTTTTCCTTTAGGTCATTGATGGTAAAGGCTTCCTTTAGGTCATTGATGGTAAAGGCTTCCATCAGGTCGTTGATGGTAAAGGCTTCCTTTAGGTCGTAATGGTAAAGGCTTCCTTCAGGTCGTTGATGGTAAAGGCTTCCTTTAGGTCGTAATGGTAAGGTCATTGATTGTAGAGGTGACCTTATGTTAGTTATTGGTTTAGTTGCAAGTACATATGAAGAAGCGTTGCAATGGACAAGTGGATATTAGTTAGTCCCAAACTGACACAGGCAGCAAGACACAACTTAAGGAAGGCTTCCGTGCCGTCTCCTGCTTGTTATTTTCTGTGTATTTTGTTGTTTTGCGCCCATTTCTCAGATTATGTTAAGTTTTTGCGCCCATTTCTCAGATTATGTTAAGTTTTTGCGCCATTTCTCAGATTATGTTAAGTTTTTGCGCCCGTTTCTCAGATTATGTTAAGTTTTTGCGCCCATTTCTCAAATTATGAGGTTTTGCGGTGCTCATTTCTCAGGTTATGTTGGGATGTTGTGCATAAGGCGCAATCAGGGAACACCATCATCAGAAATTTAGGGCTCAATCAGAGGACTCCATCACCAGACATTTAGGGCTCAATCAGAGGACTCCATCACCAGACATTTAGGGCTCAATCAGAGGACTCCATCACCAGACATTTAGGGCTCAATCAGAGGACTCCATCACCAGACATTTAGGGCTCAATCAGAGGACTCCATCACCAGACATTTAGGGCTCAATCAGAGGACTACTTGTCCAGTCATTTTTATCCCACTTTCAATTAACTTCACGAGTGGTATTCAGGCCTGGGTGTTGGTGGGGTGGGGGCAAAAAGGGCAATTGCCCAGAGCGCAAAAGTCTAAAAGTTTGGGTCCAAAATCGTCTTTAGATGGGACCTTAATATTGAATTAAACAATGAAATCTTATGAAATTTTCAAAGACAAGGGCCGACAAAAAATTCCTCTTTGTTCCGGTGCGCCTAGGGCTGCACATTTTTTTTCTCTAAAAAAATTGACGGGCGCCATTTTAAAGCTTTGACCGGGCGCCGCTATTCCTCGGCACCACACTGGTATTATTGATTTATTTGTCGTGGGTTAATTTTTTTTTTTTTTTGGATCCCACATTTATTGAGCTGAAATTTTGCTTAGGCGGCTTAATCATAAAGACATACCCAGCCTTGGCCATCTGATTTGTTACCTTCTCTCAATTTCTTGTTCAATAGAAGGCAGCCTTAAAAAAAAAACAACCACAAAGGACAAAGTAATACTGCATTGCACGTATTAGACTTACAATGAACTTGCGGTAATACGATAAGGGAGGGCATTTTAAAACTGGCAAATTTAAAAGTAGGCATTTAAAAAAATCGCGCTGGTTGCCTTCAGGTTAAGAACAGTAAACATTTACTTTGGTTACGCTGAGAGATCTTCTGTCTTTAATGCGTTCTTTTGAAGACAAAAATTATCATTAAACTAATTTTGATGAATTATTTATTTTCATGTATTTTTTTTTAAACTTATGCTTGGATATAAGAAAAAACCCAGATCTGTCCTAAAGTTAATTTTTTTTTTTTGGGGGGGGGGGGATAAAATAAATTATTTTGTTGTCTTTTAGTGCACTGGTCACAACCCACGACTGACCAGGACTAATGTACCATAAACCAAGTACTGTACTGGTCTATGCAGTACGAAAGGTCACCTTAATTATGACACGTACAATTTCATTGTTGATGAGTTTCAGATCACAAAGGTGATGGATTCGACCATTCAACAAATAATTGAGTCAAAGTCGTTATTTTCGCCTAATTCTAGGCTGAAATAATTTTTTTTCCAAGGGAAGAAACTGAATGGCTTTCGACATTAAATATTTAAGAGAGTTACTTCCCTCGAAGAATTTGTAAAAATAAAAAAATAAAAATCTATTTAAATCTTAAATGATTTTTACACTAGGAATCAGCGCTTGGTGACTCTTAAAATACAAGCGCTATTATTATTAATTACCCTGAGATAACTCTTAACATGCTGGAGCTATTTATTAATCCCCTTTGGGATGACAAAAAGATAATCAATAAACCCACAGGGATTAAATATGTTCACTGCTAAGTAATAATAAAAAAAATAACTTCCTGAAGATCTAAAAAGTTGTGCTTAAAGAGCTAAAGGAAAAAAAAAACAGAAGTGTTTTGTTAATTGTTGAATATTCAAGTAGTTTAGAATATATACCATATCCTCTAGGGGAAAAAGATAGTGTGGTTCAATTATATACTTAAAAAAAAAAAACAACAACCTGGTTTTAGTTATTATTTTTTTTTTTTAAACCCTTTTGTTTTCTTAATTCTTTTTGCGAATGTTAACTTAGAATGATACTTTTTTTTCCCCCTTCGCACGCGAAGATGACAATCGGTCGACATCGACTTGAGCAGCAGCCATGGCATGAGCTGTATGTTTTTTTTTTTTTTAAAGATCGGGAAAGTTGCATCGATTCGTCAGCCTGACTCTCTCGTCCTTGCCTATTTGATCCAAATGGCGAGACTTGGTCAAGACGACTGGAAATTGATCAGGATGCAGTGGATGACCCAAAAAACGAG